GGCGAGAATTAGGCAGGCGTTCCGCGGATACCCTTTAGTTCGCCTTAGGGAGAAGTGGAGGCGTCACAGTTGGTATCAGAGCATAGGCTTTAGATCTTGTAGTGTATCCTAGGTTTAAAGTTTAGGATGCCTGACTGTGGGATTAATTTGAATATTATGTGAACTAGAGGGTCTATTGTATCCTACGGGTTAAAAAAATTGGTTACTTGAGAGTTTCTTACTTGGGACTTGTAGAAATAAAAATTGAGGAATTAGCTGTGTTATATTGAAGGAAAATATGGGATGAGAGATTAGTAGTGAAAGATTGGACGAATTTGAATTATTATTATTCTTGTAAGTGTGGAAAGAAGTGAGACAATTATTAGTGCTGGCTAAAGCGGATAAGAGACCGAGATTTGATGGTCAAACTCCATGTATCGTGATTGTGAATCCAGATGAAAGAGTTTCAAAGGAATAAAATGCATTTTCCTGCTCATTTACCTCTTAGAGAATTTATGCTTTGAAATTCTAAAGAAAAAATGAGGATGTACTAGTTTTATTTTCAAACGATGATTGGAAATAATATATATATGCTTTAAGTATGTGTAATTCTTCGATTTTGGTAAATATGTGAATTTTACTTGAATTTCAATTTAAAAATTTGTGAATAACTGATGAGTTTGTTGAAATTTTGTATGTGATGGGCTGATACAAGGTTAAAATTTTCTAAACTAGATTTTCCCCCTTGATTGTATACTGGTGTATTCTCACACTTGAATTCATCTATGCTTTACAAAAAAAAAAAAAAATAATAATAATTAAAATATCTTGAATTTTCGGAAGAACGGCGAACTTATGTTTTTATAATGAAAATCTTGAACTTGATAAGATTTTTGTTACTTTAAATAATCTTCTTATCTTTTAAAATTCTTGGTTTTCAAGAAGGGTGAGCCTATCTTTAGGTGTACGGATTGATGGAACTTTGAGATATAGAGTAACCGCATTCAAGAACACGCAGTTAATGTGAATTGACTTGGTTTTCATTTGACACGTAAGTTAGCAAGTTGTACTTATTTCTTGGGTTTGAACTTGGAGCTTGAAACTTTAACTATAAAACCCTAAGACTAGTTATTCTTGGAGATGATGGTGCTCTGGTTGGTGGCTTGCTTATTAAAGATTTTGAATTTCGAATGGATAACCTTTGGTTTCCGCTTGTGTTATGGTTTGATTGGATCTAATTTCGTAAAGGCATTTGATCTGATTGGAATTAGTGATATTCGGACCCATTGGTTTAATTAAGGACTTAGGAAGGGTGGTGCACGCCGTGAGACCTTTTGTATCCCGCTTGCATATACTTCTACATTTTGTGACCCTTAATTGCCTATATACAGTATTTGACATATTGGGCTTGTTTTGTGACTTCTTAACTCGTACTATAACCTTCGATACATGTAAAGAATCATGTCTTGATTCTAAATATTTTTGCAACTTATATATGCATTAAGTTCTTTTATGATTAATTATTTCTTTTCTTGCGCTTATAGACTCCTATTAAGTATGGTAGCAGGAATAGGAAAAAGGGGTCGTGGCCGAGGACTTAGACAACCCTGTACTCGTGAGAAAAATTGATGGATAGTCTTATATAATTTAATGAGTTTCTAGTACTGAATATGAATCGAGAAAAAAATCAGAAGATTAGATCTACCAGTGTATAATGGATTAACCTAGTTGGGAACTTAGTGAGATTTTCCTGTGTGAAATTTTAATAACTGTTTTATACGTATATTATGATTGGTCCTGTGGCCATATTTCAACTTTTGTGAAAGTTTGAACTCCAAAAGTATTTCGTGGGTTTGGTGAGATGACCTGAACTCATTACCAATTTGTTCTATTTGAACAAAAGCGCTTTCAATTTTACTTGACTAATACTATATCCAGATTCACTTGTTTTACTTTTCACAAAATTTATATATATATATATATATATATGTATGTATGTATACACATTTTGAACTCGTTTGAGACTCGAAATCAGATAGAGTTCAAGTTCGAATCTTTCTTAGGAACATGAATGCCTATTTGTTATGAATCAGATATTAGAAATGACCGGGTTTTATGTACTTGTAGAGTTAACTCTTGGTTGGATAAAAGGGTGGTAAAGGTATTGGATCACAGGTTATGCGAATATGAACATACATGTTTACCTATCTTTCTTAAAGGTATTTTCTAAAATATACGCCTTACTCGAACATAGATTTAACTCGAAACTTTGAGGAAAAGTGTTGGAACACCCTCCATGTATATGTTATGATTATTATGTATATGTTTTAAAAATCATGCATTAAGTTGCATGATTAATATTCTTAAATCTATTTGAGAGATTTTAAATATGTATTGATGATTGTGGTTAAACATTATTTGAAATCTCTTACTAAGAAAACTTAGTTTTGGGTCGTGAAGAAAATTTGTATCTTTAACTCTAATTTTGAAAATTTTGAATCGCATTTTGCCACAGATACATTCAAAATACATCAAAAGTCTTGACCTTATCTTGTAAGTCATGATTGGTTTGATTTAGACAAAATTTTGAGGAAAGGGATTTTGGTCCTGCTAGTGCGTAACAGTTTTTTTTTGTTAGGATTTGGAACTTGTTTCATATGACGTGTAATTTATGGTTTCACTACACACGGGAGTAAGACCTTAGAATGGAAGTACATATCATTATATCAAGAGGTATTACTTTAGTCGTGTGTGTGGATTTTCTTAAGTATCATTCGAGGAGAGGGAAGAGTAAATATACCTGGATGACTTAGATGTGTGAGAATTTACAGGTTGTGGATAGTTGAGTTTCAAATTCTGATTTGCTACTTATTTAGATGCTTGAGCTGTTGATAGGCTAACAGTCAGGATTAAGAAAATGGATGAATGAAAAGTTTGGAAGAGATGCGTATAGAAATAGAAATTCTTCACAAGGGGTTGGAATTCCAAACTAAATTGGCTGAATTTTGGGAAGAAAAAAAAAGTCGAGAACTTAGGGTTGAAGATGGGATCCAATGTTTAATCACCAATTTGAGATATTAAAAGTTGTGAGATTTGGGTGAGTGAAAGGAAATATTTGATGGCTTGAATGAGCCTAACGATTAGGGACCGGATGTTATATTTGGAATGGACGTTTGACGCTATATATACATAGATTATTGAGAGTTGAACGATGAGACTATTAAGAACAAATGCTCCATAGTCTCACATAAACAAGAATTATAATCAAGGGTCAGAAGCAGCGAATAAGGGATTTAAAGTAGAGTTACTACCAACCGGGAATCCTAGAAACTGATGTGCTTAAAACCACTTCCAATTCAAGATGGGGATGCTTGAATTTTCAGTTATGCCAATTGGGTTGACTAATGTATTAGCAGCAATTATTGCATTAATGCATCAAGGTTTTAAATCGTAATAGGATTAATCTGTGATGGCATTTATTGATGATGTATTGATATACCCTAAAGTTTGAGAAGATCATGAAAAAAAAAATACCTGATGATAGTTTTACAAACCCCGAGAGAACGCTAACTTTTGTTAAGTTCAATCAATGTGAGTTCGATGGGAAGAAATAGCCTTTCTAAGTTATATAATATATAAGGAAGAAATTGTTGTTAACTCATCTTAAGTGGAAGCTGTTTAAGAGGAAATGACTAGAAAATCCTACCGAAATTTGGAGTTCTTAGAGGTAGTCGAATATTACCTTGGTTTGATCAGGGACTTCTAAGGATACGAGACTTGGCAAGTTATTTGAGATTTTAAATGTGAGGAAGAATTTGAAGGTGAAAATCGTTTAACCAGTGCACTTGTGTTGGCTTTACCGAGCGGATAAGGTGATTTTGTGATTTATACAGATGGTTCAAAGGATGGTTTAGAATGTATATTAATAATATATGATGAGGTGATTGTATATGCCTTCTGAAAGTTAAAATCTTCCGGAAGAAAGTAATCAACTCATGATTTGGAGTGAGTTGGAAAACGTAAGTCAATGATTGATCTGATAGGCTTAACCATGAAGGGAATGATATTGTTCTAAGTATGAATTTCGAGGACGAAATTCCTTTCAAGGAGGGGAGGATGTGAGAACCCGAAAATTTTCTTATTTTTATAGAATATTACTGGAATATTTAAATGATTATTCACTCATTTTCTTCGAATTATTTATTTCGACCATTTTAAATCCATTTATATGGAATGACGCCTCTTTATATTTTTAAAGCGTTTTGTTGAAAAATTCGCTTTTCGAAAATTTGTTTAGTCCGGAACGACGGGTGCACGTTTTTCTAGGCCATACTTGAATCGGGAGTGTATTATTTATTGGAGAATTAAGAACGATCAATAATAGATTAAGAAAGGTTAATGGAGGAATTAATACTCAATTCACGTGAGGACTCGTAAAATTATTATTTTAAAATCCCTAATTTTGGCTAAATTAATTATTTATTTAGATTTTTGCCACGAATAATATTTTCTAGCCTTATTAGACCTAAGTACATGGTTTTATAGTTTCGTTATATTTTTAAAGTGTCTCGTTTCAAAAATTATTTTCTTATAAGCTTGTTTAGTGAAAAGGTGAAAACGTGTCCAAACACTTTAGCCAATTGGGAATAAAATAAGTTCAAAAATTTGAGACATATACAATGGTCCTAAAATAGACAATTTTAGGTTTAAGCACACAAGTGATAGCTAGTGGTACGATCGTTATAAGAATTTCTCGAAGGTTTCATTTTATTGCGCCTAAATTGGAAATACGTGTTTTCACGTGCGCGCTTAATTGAGGGACTTTGGACAATTATTTTGGAACAATTAAGAATGAATAATATTTATATGAATGTAAGTGCCCTAGAGGTTTAGTGCACTAGTGCAACAAACTTAAGGGAAATTGAACACAAAACGCGCGAGTAGGGCACTAGTTGCAATTAAATTTTTCGTACTTAAAATATTAGACGGTCGGCGTTCTTTGTACGCAAAAAGAAATCAGACTAACATTCATATCTGCAAGCTTCATGGACGGCTAGCAACTGCAGCAAAGAGCAACCGAAAACTTCCACCATTTCCTCTACAAACTCCACCAAATTCAACCAAAACTTCACACACACTTAGCTCTTCACTTGGACAATCACTTGGACAAAGAAGGAGCTGCACATTCACGGTTTTTCTTGGGGCTTTTGGACACCAAAATCTGACCTTTTAGCACACAAGTAAGGTAACCATGATCCACTCTTCAAATCTTGTTCATTGAAGGCCAACTCACACTTAAGAGCTTGATTATGCTTATGGGTAGCTTATTATTGTTAGAAATTGTTAAATGTGGGCTCTATGAACTCCCACTTTGAGTTGATGGCTGTGATGATGTTTGATGATGGTTTTATTGTTGAATTAGTGCTTAAGGGAGTAGATTAAAGGTGCATTATCGCCAGAAACTTCATTGAGCTCTTGAAGCAAAAAGTTCCCATTTTACCCCTGCTCTGTTCGGTCACTTTAATGCAGAAATTTGAGGATTTAATGGCTTGATTGTGTTGTTTATATGTTGTAGTAGTTGTGTAAAAATTTTCATTGAAAAATACTGAGTTTTGGTTGGTCAAACGAATTTATTCCCAAAGCTAGTAATCTGGAAAACGGTTTCGTCGTATTCCAGACCAGTGTTCGTATTTCGTCCATAACTCCGTACTCCGACGTCGAAATCAAGTGCCGTTAGCGGCATTTGAAACTAGACGTTCCCATCTTTCTAACGATATATAATGCACGTTCTGGTTTCATGTGTGTGAACCGTACCACTTATTTGAATTCAGCTGCCCTGTTTCGCCATTCTGCCGAAATGATTTGATGATGCTGCAACTTTAGGCTTAATTTCGAGCTAGTTGCATGCTGAAACATAAAATGATTTCTTCTGTGAAATTATAGTCCTATGCATGTATTTTCTAACACTATCAACCATGCTCAAATCCGAGTTAAATTGAGTGAGTTATGATCAAAATACGGTGACTGTTTTGTTCTTGAAAGCCTTGGATTTGGACAGATTTGACGTAACATTTGTGGTGGTCTTACTAAATGAATTTCTTGATACTAAACACCTACCAAATGTACCATGAATGTTTCTTAAACTTTCCTTTCGCAAATGAACCATGATTGGAGGATTTTCTTAGCCAAACGATTGGATTTGGGAAGAAAAGGATTAAGGGCAGATTGCCTTGAGAATTTTTTCAAACTTTGATTGATTGGTTAACCACCTTCCCGAAGGTATTTTTCCACGAAATTTGAGAGAGAGATACCCTTCATATAGGAGTACCATACTACAAAATTTGGTGTCAATTCAAGTCCGTTTCGACACTTAACAAAAGGTCCAAAGTCGGAACCAAATCTGAAAATTTTGTAATAGTCTTGAATTTTTCCCAACTTTGAGCTACCATATCTTGGTGCTCGAAACTCCGATTCTCGATTCGTTTGTTCTGTCCTAAACCTTACTTGAACCTCTAATTGATCTATAAATTTCTACGGCTGATTTGCAACGAGTGAATTCTGCCGAATTTCCAAAGTTAGCGAAAAACCAACCCCGGCTCAATCCTGGGTGATCTGGGACATCAACTTTAAACTCATTTTTGAATACCTTCCATTTAGATTCGTGGAACAGTATCTTCTAAGAACTTTTAGTAATTTCCAAGAGGTTTCCAACGGTATAAATTTTTCCAATTGTAGACTTGTATCGAGTGAGATACGATTTTTCAAAGATCCATATCAAAACTAAAATTTTCCAACTTTCAAGGAAATAGAGATTTCCAAGAATTTTTTATTCTTTCGACATTATGCAAACATTTTAACCTCGATTTCCAAGATAAAAATCCAAATGCTCCTGTACTTTAAGAAACTCTAATTGAACCTCGATTTACGAGTAATTGAGGTTCGATTTCGTGGAATTTCCTTAGATTGTACTAGTGTACAATCTTCCTTGACAATTGGGATATATGAATGATAATACGTTATTATTTGCCCAGGCGCACACGAGGACCTTCAAGAGGATCCTACCGTGCACACTTGAACTTCCAGAAAATATTTTTTCTTGATTTGCTCGGTGAGTGTCAAGTGTATGACTACTTGAACTCTATGGATTTGATTCATGCTTGGCTTACCTGATTACATGCTTAGCCTACTTGGTTTTGAAAAATGGAGTCGAGTGTGTACTTTATCGCACTCGTTCTCATTTGAAACAAATGACTCATGCTTAACATGGTTTGCCTGACATGACCTGAAATACATGCTTAGACCTGTCAAATGCTATGATATGCTATGGCATACGTCGTTGGAGTGAATCTCCTCGACACTTACATGACACATGGGGGACGTCCAAACTCATAGGCCGACCTTGGAACTCGAGCCGGCATGGGCTTGGTCGGGAACCTCGGTGAGCCATGAGATTCACATGGTAAGCTTGATCTATTGGAGAGATCTTGCTTGGCATACTCGTGGAGTATCGCCTCATAAATGTCGTGCGGGCCCGAAGCGGTGTATGGTGGATGGATGAGAAGTAAGTGGTGATCTACGGTTTGGAAATATCAATCCGGTTGACGGAGAGTCATCACGGGAAGATATACGAATGAACTGGCAAAGCAAGTGGAACTTAGCTCTTGAGAGCTACCATATCCTTGAATCGTTTCTGTTTACATTTTTTTGGCATTGTTAATTACTTGCAAGTTATCACTTGAACTGTTACTTGGGCTTGTTACCTGAACTATGTGCCTGCATGTGTGTTCTTGGCCTCACAAGCATTTTGCTCACCCTATAGATTTGTTTTCCTTAACAGATTTGAACTCGGAGGCGTACTGGAAAAAAACCTCCTGATGAGCTTTTGTTTAGGGTTTCTATTACTTTTGGCTATGTCTTGGCTTTTGGGTTGTATTTTGGAATCCGAATGTAACTTTTGGAGCATATGTATATTTGGGATATATGATGGTTGTTGAATACCCGATGTGCGGATTGGATAACGGATGACTTTTATTAAATTTGAACGCTTCCGCATTTATTATATCTAAGTTATTGACTCGTATTGTGTGGTCCGGTAATAAGCTTGAATGGAATTGTTTGAGTCCTGGCGAGAGTTAGGCAGGCATTCTGCGGATACCCTTTGGTTCGCCTTAGGGAGAAGTGGGGGTGTCACAAATTCGGTACATGCCGAATTCACCGAATTCTAATATGGTATGAAATAGGTAATAAGATTGTGAATTTGGTAATAACCGATTTCGCATTCAAATTCGGTAATTGAAATCGGGTGCCGCATTACCACATTCGAATTACCAAATTGATATATAAAATTATATAATATATAGATAAATGCTATTTAGTATTAGTATATACTACTAATACTTTATTATATTATATAGGTAAATGCTATTAATAATAATTAGTATATGGTATTATCATCATATCATGTACTTATAATAATAATAATATATAATAATGTACAATATATTCTTTTAGTATTTATTAATTGTTATATGACTATAATAATATAAATATATAGTAATACATAACAATATAAGATAACTATAATACTTATTATTTTATACATGAGTAACATGACTAGAATTAGATAATAATTAATACATATATGTATAATACTAAATATTAAACAATAAACATAATTAATAATTAGAATTTAGATATTGGTAATTTGATATATCATTCATGTTTGAATTATTGAATATTTGAATGCGTAATCTGTAACTTGCAAGTATTAGTGTACTCTACATATTTAACATAAAAATTCATATTATCTATTCACTAATCTTAATTCTTAAGGCTTTAGCCTTTAAGTATAGATAAGACAACTAAGCAGTTAGCAGTGTAAGTGAATGCATATGAATTGCAAATCAATGTATTAGTGTATTGACTTTCACGAATAACATATGTAAGTAAATAAGTTTTATTTTGATTTGAAATAAATTATAAGTTTGTAACTAATATAACTTACCACTAATCATTGTAATTTGTAAGTTTGTAACTAATATTACTTATTATTAATCATTGTAAATTATGAATTCATAAATTATCACTAATCATTGTGTTCCTTAAATCATAGACTAAGGATTCTAGGTAAAAGTTATCAAATAAGTTATAATTCATATTATCTATTTACTAATTTAAGGTTTTAAGTATAGACAAGACAACTGAGCAGTGTAAGTGAATGCATGTAAATTGCAAATCAATGTATTAGTGTATTGACTTTCACAATAACATGTGTAAGTAAATAAGTTTTTATTTTGATTTGAAATAAATTATAAGTTTGTAACTAATATAACTTATCACTAATCATTGTAATTTGTAAGTTTGTAACTAATATTATTTATTATTAATCACTGTAAATTATAAATTCATTGTAACTACTAACTAATATTACTTATTATTAATCATTGTAAATTATAAATTCATAAATTATCACCAATCATTGTATAGTCTAAGGTTTATTCTAGTTTAAATTAATAGATAAATTATTACTTTTTTTTAATAGATGAATTTGGTTAAACCGAATTCATTACCGTTTTCGAATTTGAAATCGGTTGCGGTATGAATTTGGTTATGGCTAATTCAGAATTGAAAACGGTTTAGATTTCTATATGTAGAATAACCGAATTCACCGAATTCAGTGCACCGAATTACCGATTTTGCACCGAATGCACACCCCTATTCCCAAGTTACAGAAGTTTATGATGTGTATTAGGGGTTTCCTCAGCAATTCGACAGCATCTGGTGCATCGTCCATGGAACCAACGACAGCAACCAAATCTGCAACAATCCACGGTTACGGTGTCCTCATCTCCAAATTTATTCTCACGGATCTCCTCAGCTGTTTGACAGCATCTCGTGCAATAGATGAGGTACCAGCGGCAGCACGAAATCTGCAACCAGTTAAGTGATCAATCTCACCTGAACTGGCATCCAGCGGTCTTCATGTTGTCGTGATCTGTTTCAAGACATAAATATTAGGAGCATCGTCTTAAACTCCAAAACGTTAGGTGACTGGCTAGGTTGAAAATTTGCAAGATATATGCAAAGAAATGAATACTATGGATTAAACAAAACTGTCTAGGCATATGAGATGGTGCAACTTGGATATGAATTATTTCGTCTTATAAGCTACTAATTAAATATTTAATTTGGGTTTTGACGTTAGTTTAATCTTTGTCCTGTTAAACAATAGTGTGACATTTTGGAACGTTTATCCTTACAGTAATACTATAAGGATGTGAAAAAGATATTAGCACTTTAATATAACTTCCTTGATACTATACAAATAGCCTATCATAAAAATTCACGTCCCAATAATGTGTCTCCTAAGCTCCATTCATTTAAGTATTCAGGTTCATCCAAATAAATAAATAAAGGAAGGAGGAAAAAGATTAGGTGCATTCAGTTGTTGCATCAGAGGAAATGAGGAGTACAAGTGCAAAGAGAGCACCACTAAATTTGTTGATATCTAGTGACAATTGCATTGAGCTAAACAATATTTGTTGATATCTAAATGACCTCATTTTTTATGTTGATGGGACCTAATGTCAATATCGTCAAGGAAAAATTGACTGTAATACCCTCATTTAGAAGCAAAATATCATATTCCAATTTTACCAACATGCCATCAAAACTCGTCACCAAAATTTAACAACTTTACTAAAACTAATTTTCAAAGGCTGGTGAGCTTTGGAGAAGATCTGAACATTAAGCTCCAAAATATTTCATTGGGTGAAGGAAAATTGTTGAAAAAAGTGGCTTATTAGCTTTATTCTTTGATATTTATATATAATAATTAAAAGATGAAAACTTTTTTAATTGAATGTGGATATTCACAACAAAATGAGGTACCGAATGGAAGTTTATGGTCTTCATGATTGATGTGGTTCCATGAATAAACTCGTAGAGCTGATAAGATGAACATTCTGGCCTTAAGATGAGTTTAAAATGTAGCCATGGTAGACATGATGAGTCATTTAAGGACCACATCATGCATATCTTGATATTATATGAGCAATTTGCGATGGATAAAGCCATGCATATGCATGCATGTGCTTTATATAATGTGAAAATGGATGAGTTAGATAAAGCTTGGTGAAGTAAAGTTAGTATACCGAATCGATTTTGACGTGTGAGTAGGATTTTCTGCTTGGTTGCTCTATTTTAAGTGATTATCACTTTGTTGACAAAGATCTTGTCGGACAATCTCCCAAAATAAGTTTCTATCGTTTTTCTTTACTGAATCACGAACATTTCTTTAGTGAAATTTTAATCTTAAATTAGGTTGGACTAATTATTTGGAGGGAACATTTTAGATGGCAAGTGACTCATTCACTCCTCATTTTTGCATATATAGTTGAAAGAAAAACATAAGTTTAAGCAACTAATGACTTTGTAAATAAAGATTGTATAAGATCACTTCCAAAAGTAAGTTTCTATACCATATCTTTGTTGAGTCTTATCAAGAAAATTTTGGAGGGAAAATTAATCTTCAATTAGCTTGGACTACATTAAGCTACTACTTGGTTGATTGTCAATTTTATCATTTTTATTGTTATTAAAAAATCCATAATGTGAACACAAAAGTAAACGAGGATATCACAAAAATTGATTATCTATAATCAAAATCTCTAAATAGTTAAAATAGTCAATAAAAAACAAGCATGTTGTAGTATAAAATTTTTTAGGTAGACTACTTTGTCTGTACCTTTATATGTTGACTACTAATTGAAAGCTACCATGAATTTTGGATAAATAGGACGGACCTGATTCTACTCATGGCATTATTGTGTATTAAAAACTTATTTTTTTCCTTTTAGCTGCTGTGCTTCATGCCATTTGGAATAGTTCACTCCTCATTTTATATGTTTTTTCTTTTTTTCTTTTTTGGAAATAGCCCTTTTTACAACATAAATATGTTACAATATTTCTTTTAGGGCCTATAAAGGTAAATATGGAACAAAGTGTGCTGACATCATTTCTTGTCAATCTATTGCATTTCTTTTGTGGACACGGGCTAACTTGGTTACAAAACTAGTTATAAGTAAGAGTGATCAGCGTAATATCGAAAACAAGAGGGGCACTAGGTGAAATTGTCCAAACATTCAGGGGAAGTTTGTGAAATTATCCCAATAGTTTGAGTACCTGCCCTGTTACTTGCATTAGAGTGGCCCTTTATTATTGACTAATGCAGACGTCCATGTCTGCACTCTCAGGACGGAGGAATAAAGTATTTGTTGTCCTTGTGCGAGTTATACATAGTCTTTCTTGACTGCAAAAGTTGATAATTGAGCTAAAGAATCGAAAGATAATGTGGCCATTTTTCAATCTCTGATAGGAAGGATATCAATCTCCTACTTTTCCGTCTTCATGTCTGGATTGTATATCAATTTCTTTTTCTTTTTCGTTTGTTGGTTAGGTAAACTTTCATTTTCATCAGTCTAAAGGCCTAAAGGTCCCTGCCCATTTCAGAAATTTACTGATTTTAAGTGGGCGTAATAGAGCTTTAATTAACTCTATCAAGATCTTTATACATTACGAGCAACTTTCCTGTTAAAATACTAATTCAAACAAGCTGTGCAAATTCAAGGATGGAACTAGATGTTGAAAAGGAATAGTTTATACTTCATAAGAAGTACTGAATTCGTGGATTAATTTTCTTGTGCTATTGCTTTAGAGTTTTATTTACATGAGTAGATTTGAATGCGCGATAAGTAATTGTGATTCAAACTTGAAGTCATATTTTTGCACATGAAAGAAATAGTCCAAAATATTTTTTTTCTTTTTAGAACTCTACATGTAGCTTTAACTTGACCAGTCCTATTACTAGTCGTTGACGAGCACGAGGTATACATACAATAATTAAGTTCATTTTACATTTATAAATTGCTAAATGCTTCATACACGATTTTTTGCAAGCATATAGATCGAGATTGAGTATAGGGTTTTAAATGTCGGACTCATAGGAAAGATTGTCAATTACCGATGATTTTCGAATTATTTTATTATTTAGACTATCACAAGTACAAGAAATTAAATCTACGTACACTATAAACATGAGATAAAAGTAATAAAAATAACAATAGAAAGCTCCTAAAAGTATGAAATTTCTAACTACTCTTGCAAGTGAAGTTACTGGTTAAGTAAATATTATTATTTTAGCTAATTATGGCGTAATTCCTAATGTATGTGAAACATATTCTCGTAGTAAATCAACTATACTTGTAATTAAGCCATACCTACACATTCAAACAACCTGTGCAAATTCGAGAATGGAACTAGATTTTGAAAAGTAATAGTTTATACTTCATAAGAAGTACTGAATTCTGGGATTAATTTTCTTGTGCTATTGCTTTAAAGATTTATTTACATGAGTAGATTTGGATGCGTGATAAGTAATTGTGATTCAACCTTGAAGCCAAAATTTTGCACATGAAAGAAATAGTCCAAATTTTGTTTTCCTTTTAGAATACTACATGTAGCTTTAACTTGACTAGTCCTATATCTAGTCATGGTTAAGAAGTTTCAGAATATTAGTAAGGTTATGCATGATAAATTCTGTATTTATCCATTACTTTGTTAAGCCAATCTCTAGAAAGGTTTGTACTTATTAATTCCTTTCGCCATCTAAACTTATTGATAGAACGTAGTAATTTGTGTCAACACCAGAAACCAGAAAACTCGACCACTAGCTTATCGAACTGAATTTAGGTCATTAATTTTTTATGCCCGTCAACTTAAGAAAAACAACATATCATGCAGATTAATAAGTGCAGTTCAGTCCATAGGGTAAAATATAATGCGAATAGAATTAAATCTCTAAATGTATATCCAAGATAAAACGCGTATGATTGAAATGATTTGTACTAAATTTGTTTGAAATTGCAGTGCTATAAGTCGAAAATGTTAAGAGTGCATGAAAAGCATGGAAGACTATGTACTAACTTGACAAAGTGACTTATTTGAATAATAATGATAACATTTTATAATTTTTGTGGGTCAATTTTTGTTTTAATCTCTTACAGTAACAAGCATGCTTTGATTTTTTTTTTTTTTTTTTTTTGGGCTTGTTTGGATCATGGCCAGTCCGTAAATACAATAAAACCCACCAACCTTTACTCAAAAAAAAAAAAAAAAAAGCACTTCCACCTCAAAATTTACAAAAAAAATGGAAGAAAGAAGAAACCCTACTCGTTCTCTTCCAGTGCTATACGTTTATCAGAATAAAGGTCGAAACTTGCAAAATATCATTCTTGAAAGCATTCATTATTCATCCTTTTTGTCTTACGTCAAAGTTAGACATCTTGCAATTCATAATTTTCATGCTTGACAACTCTTTTGGATAAGATTGATGTTCCTCTGAATATCAACATTAAAATTTTTTTTTTCGAGTAAGTTGTACCGTCGATACTGAAGAACTTTGATTCCTTTCTCAGGAAGGAATAGGATTGGGTTTAACTCTTGTCGATACTGAATTTTTTTTACATTGTAATGACAAGGAACGATGAAGAGCACAACACACATATTGAATATTCTGCACATCTTATATCAAACACAGTAAATTCTAGCAGGTCCAAGGTACAGAAGTTTACGATGTAACTGAGATAGAGATCATCAATTGTGTTGATGATCAAGTGGATTTATTTATTCAACATGACAACAACATAAGAAGAGCACTCGAACTGAGTACTCATTACATGCTTCCCCTGTTTATTCTACACCAGTTCAAAGAGAAGCCACATAAGTCTTTTACACATAGAGGAAATCAACCATCAAAAGCAAACACAACATTACATATTAAGGTAATAATATAGGTGTCACGGATCCTGTGTCACACCCTTATTTATTTAGCATTAATTTTTGACCTCATCTCCAGATGTAGCTTCAGGGGTCTCCTCAGCGGTTGCGCAGCATCTTTGGCATTGTCCATGGTACCAGCTGCAGCAACGATATCTGCAACGATCTGCAGATGTAGCTTCAGGGGTCTCCTCAGCGGTTGCGCAGCATCTTTGGCATTGTCCATGGTACCATCTGCAGCAACGATATCTGCAACGATCTGCAGATATAGCTTCAGGGGTCTCCTCAGCGGATGCACAGCATCTTTGGCATTGTCCATGGTACCAGCTGCAGCAACGATATCTGCAACGATCTGCAGATATAGCGTCAGGGGTCTCCTCCGCGGATGCACAGCATCTTTGGCATTGTCCATGGTACCAGCTGCAGCAACGATATCTGCAACGATCTGCATTTACGGCAGCCTTATCTCCAGATGTAGCTTCAGGGGTCTCCTCAGGAGATGCACAGCATCTTTGGCATTGTCCATGGTACCAGCTGCAGCAACGATATCTGCAACGATCTTCACTTATCTTATCCTGATGAGCCTCACCAGTGGTCTTCACGCTCGCCTGATCTGTTTCGATACACAAGGAGACAAAAATATTAGGAGCTTCATCTTAAGCTGCAAAGAGTTGAGTGACCTGCTGGGCTGAAGATTTGCAAGATACATGCAAAGAAAAGAATATTATGGATTAAACAAAATAGTCTACTTATAAAAGATGGTGCGACTTGGATATGAATTATTTTGCCTTATAGTCCACTCAATAAATTAGAATTAGTATTAATTAATTTGGTTTTCGACTTTACTTTAATCTTTATCGTGATAAACAATAGTGTGATATAATGTAACGTGTGTGCCTGGAGTTATACTATAAGGATGAAAAATCAGCTGTTCCACTTACCGTTGATACAAACAACCAAAATTTACTTTTATTAAACAATGAAATAGATATTAGGAAACTAATATAACTTCCTTGATACGATACAAATAGCCTACCATAAAAATTCACGTCCCAATAATGAATCTCCTAATCACCATTCACTTGAGTATTTAGGTGTAGCAAAAGAAAAAATCGTAAGAGATAAGTAAAAAAAAGAAAGACTAGGTACCTGCAGCTGTAACATCAGAGGGGATTTGGAGTGCAAGTGCAAAGAGAACAACAAAAAGAAAGAGCAAATTTTTTGAAGATGCCATTTGATCACAATCTCACTCAGAATGCAAATGACGTGTTATATTTGTTGATATCTAGCGATATGTGCATTGAGTTGCATCCCTATTTATAAGAACTAGGAGGGGAATACTGTACCTTGTGTGGTGGAAATATTTTAGGGATAATTTCAGAAACCCCTTTAAGGTCTTTAATAATTTTAATTAGCAGCCTCTTATTTCCAATAATATATGGGGTAATTTTAGAGACCTCCCTTGAGGTTTGTAATGATTGCACCTACCTCCCTTGAGGCTTGAAAAATTATAAAATCTCCCCTATAAAGTATGTTTTGGTAACAAATGGTGATGCAAGTATAAAAAGTCTAATGAACATCCTATATTGCCCCTATTTAATTTACAAAACAAGTTAAATGCCAAAAATATCAAATATTAGTGTTTCTTACTAAGTAAAAAGTTTTAAGATAGTTCTTTGCAAAAAAAAAAAAACATTTAGGCTATATTTCAAAGATTCCTTTTTTAATATTTGGACATCTATTTTCTTTGCTAAGTAAGTTGTGAAGAAACTATTTTTAACAAATGCATTCCTACTAGTCAGCTTTTTATAAAACTAAGTAAGAATTCCATTTAAATGACCTAAAAGTTGAATATAATGTATTAGGAGAGATGAGATTAAAACTTTTGGATAAAGAAATATTTGAAAAATGTGATTTCCTTTTTTTTTTATACTCACTTTTCACTTAGGATTTGTAGAGTTATCAAAGATATTATAATCTTTTTATAACACCAAGGAAAGTAAGTGTAATTTTTTAAATTTCAAGGGAGGTAGCAGCAATTGTTAGAAACCTCAAGGGAGGTTTATGAAATTATCACATAATATATTGACCTCCCTTCTCATGTTGATGGGACCTACTGTCAATATCATCAAGGAAAAATTGACCATAATGGTCTCACTAAAATGGCTTTTTAAACATTATCTTAGAAGCAAAATATCATCTACCAACAAGCCGACATGCCATCAAAACTTGGTGCCAAATTTTAACAACTTTACTAAAATTAATTTCTCTGCTGGTTGGTGAGCCTTGGAGAAGAGCTTTAGGACCGGAACCTTAAGCTCCAAAAGTATCTCATTGGGTGAAGGAAGGTTGCTGCAAAAAGTGTGTTATTAGCTATATTCCTTGACATCAATAAAAGGTAAAAGATCGATGGAAACTTTTTTAATTGGATGTCGATATTCACAACAAAAATGATGTACCGATGGAAGTTTATGGTCTTCATGATTGATATGCTACCCTGAATAAACTAGTTGAGTTGATAAGATTGATATGCTACGATGAATAAACTAGTTGCGTTTATAAGATGGACATTCTGGTCTTAAGATAATGTTTGAGATATAGCCAATGGACATGATGAGTCATTTAAGGTCACATCAAGAATATCTCGATCTTATATGAGAAATTTATGATGGACAATGCCGTGCATGCTGGTTCTTTATATAGTGTGAAAATGGATGAAGTATACATAGTTTGGTGAACTAAGTAGGCCGAATCGATTTTGATACATGAGTAGGACTTTCTGATTGGTTGCTCATTTTTTCATATGTAGTTCGAAAAAATTATTTTGACTGATTACTTCGTCGATAAAGATATAGTAGGACAATCTCCCAAAATAAGTTTCTATGGCGTTTCTTTGTTGAATCACGAGAATTTCTATGGTGAAAATTTTAATCTTAAAGTAGGTTGAACTAATTATTTGGGGGGAAAATTTTAGATAGTAAGTGACTGACTCACTCCTCATAGTCGAAAAAAGATAAGTTTACGTGGCTAATTACTTTGCTAATAAAGACCATTTATACTACTTTTATCTGGTCTTGGGAGTTCTGTTCAATAAATTGGAATTATTATAAATAAGAATAAGCTAGCTCTAGCAAGAACTAAATCATTAAAGTACTTTCCCTAGGGGCTTTGGGCGGAAGGGGGAACGTAGCGATTTGAGACTGATCTTGAGCCTAGGTTGAGGATGGAACTCCTATAGTATAGCAATTGATGTGAAACAAAGGCTACAGCTGGATACGATCACCTCCAAAAGTAAGTTTCTGTACCATCTCTTTGTTGAGTTCTTATGATGAACATTTTTGAGGGAAAATTAATCTTCAATTAGCTTGGGTAACATTATCGTGAGTGAGTTAGGTTTCTACAGTAGAAAAAGAAACATGTTGATAGTATAAACTTATTTAGTTAGATTACTTTGTCTATGCCTTTATATGTTGACCACCAATTCAAATCTACTATGAATGTGGATGAGAACTATTTCAGCTCATGGCATTATTGTGCATTTTTTTTTTTTTTTAGCTGAAGTGCATGTTTCACTGCTCTACAAAATTGCTTCCAGTTACGAAGATTTTAGTGAAAATGGTCTCTTCATTTTGTTCATTCACCAAGACTTTTACGCTATTTTCGTTCCAAAGCAACAGCACAGTTAGCAATGGTTATGTGATTCTAAGTGTCAAAGACTTAAAAAAGGCTCTGTTGTGCTTTTGCCTCCAACCACATAAAAATTAAACCACCTTTTCTTCTTCTTTTCACTGCCCTTTTTACAACTTAAATATGTTACCATATTTCTTTTAGGGCCTATACCAATAAATGTAAATGTGGAAGAAAATGTGATGATATACGTTTCTTTTACTGACATGGGCTGAATTTGTTACAAAACTAGTTAAAGGGTGGTCAGCCTAACACTGAAAATAAGAGGGGTACTAGGTGAACTTGTCCAAAACTTCAGGGAGGTTTATGAAATTATTCCAATTGTTTAGGTGGCTGAGGCTGTTACTTGTACAAGAGTGACACTCCTTCTCATATTCGTCAGAATTCCCCACTTCATTCGTCATGTAGTCCTCCATATGTCTCGAAGTCTCCGGATTTATTGTCCTTATACAAAAGTTACAGTCTTTCTTGACTATGAAAGTTGACGATTGAGCTAATCACAATTAAGAAATGTGGCAATTTTTCTAACTCTGGATACTGGATAGGATATCAATCTCCTTTTTGCTGGATGGCTTGCATTTTCATCTGTGTATAGGTCACTCTCCACTTCCCACGTTCAATGATTTTGATTAAGTTGCTGTCATAGAGCTTTCTCATCTCTATCAAGATTAATGTATATCATAAGCAGTCCATTCAAATCTGTTGTGCGAGTTAGGGGATGGAACGAAAAGCAAAAAAGCAGTCCATTCAAACTCGAAATCATATTTTTGAACATGAAAGAAGTAGTTGCGACAAGTCTTTTTTTAAATTTGTTTTTAAAATTCTTTGTACTCAAGAATTATCACAATCAGAGGCATTGTCAAGTTAAACTTCAATGGTCTAACTAGGCTACCTACAAATTATATTGTTAAGTTTAGAAATGGGGCCCTTGGTTGATTTTTTCAGATCTTATCTAGTTCAGTGTCCTGTAGGGAAATTTTGAATGGGTGAGAAGATCATGTAATCTTGGAATTATTTAGCTCGGCACATTGTTTAGCTCCCGCGGCACATTGTTTGGCTCGGCAATATGGGAATTATTCATCTCCTCAGTTTTGGAGGCATTTGCCTCAATCTGTTTTGTCCAGCCTTTATGGTTGATTTAAATCATGAATCAATGAAATTTTATGTCTTATCAGATATATATATATATATATATATATATATATATATATATTCATGAATCTTGTGGCAAAGTTTATATTTTACATTGTTTGTATTCGTAATGATTTGTACCACATTATCAAAATTATATAATTTGAGTGTAAAATTATATAATTTGAAATCTTGTCAGGTGTTTGGCTTATATAATAACTAAATTTCTGGTGATACGGAAAATTGACGATGTTTCCTCGGCACACTCAAAACTATACAAGCTTTACCCACTAAGCTCTCCTCTTTCTCATGTTACTGTTCCGTAAAAAAACACATTCTATAAACTAATTTAGAAGAAGAGTTAGACAGCTACCGGATCCCACATCATCCGGTCTAGAGACTCATGTTCCAATTGAGTACGATGGTCATGGATTGTATTTTCCAGGGAACGCAACACATGGCCCTGAGAGGGTGTAAAATTCGAATGTTTACACTGTTGGGATTGTAATGTGGAAGGAATTCTATAAACAGTCAAGGGGTATTTGATTATAAAAAGGAAAAAATTTACAAATCAATACAGTGATAATAATATGTATGATTAATTTAACTTCTTTAAACTTTAAGTTGAAAAGACTGTAAAGATTTTGTGCATCATGCGTGCTACAGGCTTTCAAAAAAAGAAAAGAGAACTCACTAAATTGGAGTCTTTAAGACACAGAAAAAATCATAGCAATGAACAGCTTGTCATTTTTGTAAAGAATTACCATTTTGAAATCATAATTTACGTTCATATATATATATATATATATATATATATATATATATATATATATATATATATATATATATATATATATATATATATATATATATATATATATATACTTAATTTGTCACAGGCTATAAGAATTTGTAAATGCACCATACTTATCTATGAGTGCATTTAATAGACTAATGTAAAAGTATGTTCTCTCATCCAATGAAACATTTTCAATCTTCACCAGCCTCTGCAGCTTTTCATGTATAAGGTCCTGCAATCCTCTGCTGAAGTTTTACTTTCAGAACCCTGGAAGGATCTACCTTCCTTACCTTCTTGAAGGTTTTCAACAACTACTGGAGATAAGTTGGAAGCTTTCATTGTGAAGGTTGAAGAATAAGTCAGAAGAGATACAACTAAAGATAATCCTGACAAAGTAAATTTTTAAAGAAGATTAATAATATTAAAGCAAATGGGAGCAATGGAAGTAGTTAAAGACGCACTAGATAAAGCAAAAGCTGTGATAATGAGATTTGTACATAGCCAGGTGGCTGTTCTGAAACTTCTTGGAGATCATATATTTTCTGTCCACTAACTAGTTAGACCATCCAAGTTCAAGTTGTTTGAGCATTTCCTAAAGGGCAGAGGCTAAAGTTCCGTTGGGTTTGTACCTTAGAAATAGTTATCTAATTAGTTCGGAGGCTTTTGGTTTGTAAATGAATAAATTTTACAAATCAATCTATAAGTGATAGTCTATATGATAACTTTAAATTCTTTAACCATTTGGTTTCAAAAATTCTAT